TACAATAATAATAAGCACCACAGTATAATATAAAGGTCAATATTACACTACTTGTACCTGCAGTGAATTGAAGAATGCAAATGAAATATGGATTTCTTTCTTGTCTGGGGCTGTGATGGTTCCAACCCCTAGTCCCCAAGTTAATCCAAAAAACTGGTGTTAGAACTGCCAAGGTCCTAGCAATGACCACTAGAACATGCCGCTCAGCTGCCTGTGCAGTGTCAAGCATTGCCCTTCTTCTCAACATTTTGTATATGACCAGTATCAGGATGGTAAGGTTTATCAGCACTATCATCAGCACAGGGATCACAAATGCCAGTAGAGCCTTGGAATTGTCCCAGTTGAGCCAGCAGCCATCGGATTGTCGGATATATGCTTGTTTGGGTTCAGTTACAGTTATAGTTATAACAGCAATTACGATGGGAGCCCCATAGCCAAGAGAGAACCCAATAGCCAACATTGATCTTTTAGACAAACCCCGATCAAAGACCATAACTGTGCGGTACAACAACAGCAGAGCTGAGGCTAACATCCAAAAGAAGAGGGCTAGGTAGAATAGATGGATAAAAAAGGGAGCTGCAGTGCATGCTTTTGGGTTTTCATCCTTTTCATCTGAGATGGCTACCCCAATAATAAAACAAATGTTTGCAATCAGGAGAGACATGGCAATGTTAACAATGGAAACATGGCGCAAGTAAGATGTCTTGTTCTTTCTTATTTTTCTCCAAATGGCAGCTTCAATGATAAGGTATATGATCAAGGAACCCATAGATATGCCAACTCCAGTGTAGGTGATGTAATTCAGCACAGAGTCATCTGGACTGTAAGGTGACATAAGAATAGAGAATGAGGTCAAGTGGCTGCAGTTGCAAGTGACGGTTTTGTTTACACTCAATACCAGCTCACAGCCCGTGTTGTCCCATCCTCCGACACCACTGAAGAGGCTGAAGTTCCAGAAAACACACTGAGGGTTACCCAGAGTATCGTTGATAATATTAAATGTGAGGGAAATACTCTTGATGGTGCCACTGGACTGAATGAGGACAACTCTCCCATTGATGACTTTGAAGGTTGACTTGTCTTTGTCTCTTGCAGGGAGCACGTTATCCATTGAGAAAAATGTTATCACTGTGATTGATTTTTCTCCTCCATAAAAATCTGGTATGTCTATTTCTACTGAAGAATTAAAGTTAGCATTGAACATGTTATTGAATCTAGTTTTGTTCAAGAGAATATAAGGTGTGTAAATGTCAAAAGGGTCGTTGGTAAGGGCGAG